GATACCAGTGAAGTTTTTTTCCCTCATTTAAATAAATGTAGAATTTATATATCTCTGTGTGTGGAACTGATAATCATTCTTTCACAATCTACTAGATACAGACTACTTCATTATAAAGAAAAATAAAATAAATATGAAAAAATATAGGCCTATGTATATTTATAATCTATGACAAAAAATTATAAACTAGGTTAGTGGATAATTCGGCAGCAAAAGTTATTCTAGACAAATCAGTGCACAATAATTTTAGAAATCCAAACATTTAGTGAAAAAAACAATATTTTGGGTGGAACAAATAAAAGTGTTGCACTAAATATGGTAAAATGTTACACATTGCTATTTGTATTATTATAAAATAATAATGTATTTATATATACACGTTTATACTATAAAATTAAAATACATTTCTTTTAAATGTATAGCATATTTTTTAATAAGGCAACAACATATGATAGATACGATAGGACAAAACAAATACAGTGCAGCACGAACTGTTTTTATAAAATCAACCATCTACGGACACCTTAGCAATTGAAATCGCCATCGGCTAGTATATTTTTTTGTTTACTTGCCAGACTGAAATACTATACTATATATATATATATATAGTCCTTTTTGCAAAATCATAGACATGTATTTACAAATCAAGTATAATGGGAACACAGAATGATCTTGGAGAGAGCTTTACCGAGCTGACTGCTGTAACCGAACGCGACCAGGGTTTAAAGGCTGAACGAATGACTGACAGCCACAGCGGAGAAAAGAGTTTGTGTGAACTTTAATGTAAGGACTTAAATATGCATATGTAGCTCACATTAAGCTATGTATAATTTCAGAAGTAACAGAATAATTCGAACAATCGGAGAGAAAAAAAAGGGGGAAAAAAATCTCAGATTTGGATCGGTTCTCTCTGATCGATACCCGATCCGAGAAAAATGGCACTATCGGAGCCGATACCCGATATGAATATCGGATCAGCGCATCCCTAATCAGACACACTGTGTAATCAGACTCACGCAGACCCCATTATAATCAGACACAAATTTCATTTCTCAAAATAAACTATATGCCATCACTTAGTTATCAGACGTCATGTAATATGACTCAGTCAGTATAATCAGACTGCATTAACACACTGTAATCGGGCACAAATTGCATTACTCAGTATAGTCAGACTCATTGTCTTCATTCGCAATAATCAGACTTACTGTCATCAGACCTAATCAGTCACTCAATATAATCAAATTTGGACTCACCATAATTACATGGCATCAGACACACTGTAATCGAACTCACAAAGGTCAGACACTAAATTTTATCTTCATTATAATGAGCCTGCTTACACCAATTATAAATCACACAGACTGCATTACTCAAAATAGTCAAAACTCATTGCCATCACTCATTAATCAGATTTATGTACTCAATCCAACACAAATAGCATTAATCAATAAACTTATCATCACTCACATTAATCTGACTTAACCTCATCAGACCCAGTCACTCAATACAATCAGATTCACTAAAGCTCAGACTCATTGTCATTACTTACTATACAACACACTATCAGTTATCACTCATTTTCATGTGCATTATAATCAGATTTCTATCACTTATTATAATCAGACACAAATTACATTAATATAGTCATTGCCATCACACAATTCATGTAATCAGACTGTAATCTTTAAACGTTCTGTAATCAGACGCGATATAATCATCAAAAATCACAAATTACTACCAGTCATGACATTAGTACAATACTACAAAAACAAATAACTTTGGATGCATTCTGCATGTAGCATGTTACAAACAAACAAGCATTCAGCAAAAAAAAAAAAATCTCTTGCAATTGTCTACAGGAACACAATGAAGATGCCCGTGTGTGCAGCGATGTCCTGCCTGCTCTGGCTGTGGTTTACATGTACTTACGTACATGCAGAATGTCCCAGTGTTTGTTACTGTAGCGAGAGCCATCGGACAGTTGACTGTTCCCAGAGGGGGGTTAGGCATATGCCGGTGGGCCTGCAGCGAAACATTCAATCCCTCAACCTAACCCACAATCGGCTATCTGACCTGGACCACCACCTAAGCTCCTTCACACATCTGCGCATCCTGGACATCTCCTACAACCGTCTGCTTCACTTCCCAGCCTCGCTGCCACGGGCGCTGTGGGAAATCAACGTCTCAGGAAACCGTCTGCGTGTTCTTAACAAGGATGACACAGCATACCAGTGGAACCTCAGAGTTCTGGACCTGTCCGTCAATAAGCTGGAACGTGTGGTCTTTATCAACAACACGCTCTCCAACCTGAAGGCTCTCAACCTCAGTCATAACAAGTTCTGGACGGTACCTACCAACATGCCCCAAAACCTGGAGATGGTGGATCTATCCCACAACTCTCTGGTCCAGATTCTGCCGGGGTCCATGAACCGGCTACACAGTTTGGCTCGGTTTTACCTGCACGCAAACCGCTTCACCACAGTCAGTGAAGGGACATTCGAGCATCTGCAAAGTCTGAAGCTCATTACTCTAGGGGACAATCCCTGGGCTTGTGAAGAAACTGCCAATATCAGCCACCTGTTGGTGTGGACCAAACACACTTCCGCCCGAGTGTTGGGCTGCCCCTGCCACACCTGGCATACCTGCGGAGAGGCTCACCTGTCCAGTACAGGGAGCTGGCACTTTGGCACCTACACGCAGTCCCCACACGTCTTTGGAACCGAGGAGCCAAGCCATCCATATGTACAAGTGGTCACCACACACTTCTGGTCAGGGACGTCACTCCTACATACCAAGGATGACCAAACAGTATCTAGAAGCACCAAGGAACAGGAGTCTTTCAGGAATGGCCTTCTCTTTACCTCAACTTCAGAGGTTTCCCATTCTAATACTCATTCAACTACAGAAGGCCCAGTCACAACAGGCAAATTCTTCACCACTCGCAGGACCACCACTCTCCGTACACGGAGTGTGAAGAGACCCAATCACAACCTCAGTCGAAACACAAGCTCAAGATGCAGTATGGGTTCGCTCTACACATCAGTCTGCTGTACACTCCTTCTGATGGCCATGATGCAAGGGCTCTGAGGGTCAGCCGAGTCACACGGTCTTTCTTCTAAACTGGATCAAACTATTAATTCATGTTAACAAATGAATAAAACATTAAATGAACTTAATAGCTTCCAAAACAGAACAGTCTCACACTATAGGCCTAACCTCCATCTACTGATGAAGCGAAGCAACAAGCAGGATTACTGGACATACAGGTTTACATGAAATGGGTGTAGAAGCATTTCATGTTAATCAGATTAACTTCTGACAATCCATTTTGTTTAAAAAATGATCAAGTTAAATGCATGATTCTGTTAATACTACTGCAATAATAAAAACGAACAACAAGCATTCTTTTTTCATCAAAAGCTTTGCACTGTTCAATAAAATCTATAATATAAAAATGATAAAATCAGTATAATTAAATATAATGACTTTCATCAGAACACAAAGCTACTTTGTGATGCCATTCAATAAAGAAATATGCGTTCTGCCTGCTTAAGGGTACAACTATGGCATTTATTAGCAGGGATTAAACACTGATGGTAACCAGCAAAACTTTCACCACTTGGCTACAACGTATCACTTGTCCATCCACGGTCAAAATGAATTTCATTTGAATGTCATTTTAAAAAACAGATTTTAACCATGTACAGTTTTATGTAAAGTAATAAATGAGCAGAAAACTACCTGCCAAGTTCCAAAAACTACTGAAAACCAGCAGGGACACTTGACCAAGATGGTCTACCAGCTCCTTCAGGTCCCAAACAGCTGGTAAGCCATCTTCACAACTACTTAAACCAGTGACGAGAAGCTCGAAACCATCTATCACGTATTCACGTTTCAAAAACGTAGCTTAAGCTGATGTTAAACAGAATTTTCCAGCTGGGAAAGCAGTTAATTTTTCTCACCATCATGCTTTCATTATCATCTTCTGACAGAACATTACTAATAACAGTGATAAACTCTTGTCAGATTACCCAGCTATGTAGGCATATACAATTTAAAATAAGACTTATCTATATTTGGAAATCTTTTGTCTTAAACACAGCAACTACCTAAACTACCTAAACCAGTGACGAGAAGCTCGAAACCATCTATCACGTATTCACGTTTCAAAAACGTAGCTTAAGCTGATGTTAACAGAATTTTCCAGCTGGGAAAGCAGTTAATTTTTCTCACCATCATGCTTTCATTATCATCTTCTGACAGAACATTACTAATAACAGTGATAAACTCTTGTCAGATTACCCAGCTATGTAGGCATATACAATTTAAAATAAGACTTATCTATATTTGGAAATCTTTTGTCTTAAACACAGCAACTCAAGCCAGTCTTCCAATTGTAACCATGATACCTCATGAAAAGCAAACAAACAATTTGTTAAACAAAAGGAAATCTTGTCAGCATGATCTTTCCATCACTGACCCTCCTTTTTGAAGAATCATGTGACTTCTTCCACTGGTGGCATTATTAAAAGCATCTGCATCTGTTTAGAGACACTGCACATCACCGCTTGCAGAGATAAAACATCAGCATTATTTAGGTGGAGCACCGCTGGTGAGTACCCAGGAAAAGTTTACAGCTCTAAATTATTTCTTTGAACTAATGCAAAGTGTTCACAAATTAAATTCGGAATGATTTTCAACCTCTTTGAACATATATTATTCTTTTATCTTAAAAACTGATCAAAAACTGATGATATGTAAGTGTTAAACATCATTATGGAGCTAGTAAAAAAAAGAAATGGTTATACTTCTATACTGATATGATTTTTGTGTTATGTTTTTGTCAGACCAGAGAAATGGCTCTAAGAGTGGAATTCTGCGTGGTTCTGCTAGTTGTGATGTTCGGCTGTATGCAGGTTACCCTTAGTTCAAACACTACTACTATATCTCCCACTACCAACAGCACTGCTAAAAATAACAACGGTGCTAATCAGAATGGGAACGGCGCTAACCAAATTACAACCGGCGGCAGTTCAGCCAGCTCCTCCACCAGCTCCAATGGGATTATGACCACCAACAAAAACAGCACAAACCAGAATGCTAAAGATGCAACTGTCAGCGCCCTCGTAAGCAGTTCCTCCTCTTCCTCCATGACTAGCTTCTTCAAACTTCTGCTGCTTGTGTCCATGGCTCTGAGCTTTCTAAAGATGATACAGTGACCATCAACCTCCCTTGTGCTTTGAAGGCAGACAATAACGTGAGATTCTTCGGAGACGTAATAGTTTTTCTGAAATTCTATGCAACTGTCGTAGATGTTACACAGCTTGTAACAAACAGCTTTTTGCTTAACATTAGAGAAAAATATTTAAAATATTGATACTATTCACAACTATTATGAAACGGGAAATCAGTTTTTTTTTTTTATTGCTGTAAAATCTTCATACTTTAACCAGCAAAAGTACATCTATGCATCTGTAAGCTATTGTTAGTTAACTGATTGTTTTCAGAAGCAATAAAACTTTGAACAAAAAGAATGTTGTGTGCTTTTGTAATTCTTTTTTTGAAGTCTTACCTGCGAGTTACATAGTAAAACACAGGGTTTCCGTTCTTTGAGGTTCCAGCCTGGTAAAAGATATTAAGAGTCTTCAACGCTTTAAACTCTTCTTTCTCATGCACCTGGTGTCTAAAGAAAAAGAAAAACAGTTATGAACTGCAAAGTTAAAGTGGGGTTTCAGCTTAAAATAAGAAAAACTGTGTTAGAAAAATACTAATTCAAGCTAAGAAGGCTTTTATCTCTTATAAGAATGTTTAGATTTTTTAATTAATTAATTTATTTTTACTGGAAAAGTAGACAAAAATACTGTGTATTCTGGAAGAATAAAAAAAAAAAAAAAATACAGTGCAACATTTTCTACCTTGTCATAAACTCCTCAAATTTGGAGCTGGTGAGATTCAGGCTGGACCAATGAGTATCTGCTACAGGTTTGTGTTCTGGGGGACCCAGGTAAGCAAGCAGGGTGGCCATCTTATCAAAGGGCCTCCTTCCAACAGCTTTATGATCCCTGAAGAGTTTGGAAAAATATTCTCTGATTAACTGAAACGTCACTGAGAATTTGAGAATCATCAATAATTGTATGCTTACATTACAATATTTTCCTGAAGCACAGATATAAAGCATGACAGAAAATGGATGATGATTATTTTTACAACAAAACAGCTGTCCCTTAAAGATAGTGTCAATCAGATCAGAGAGAAACAAGTCGAGGAGGGAAAGTAAAAAATGCAAATCAGTTCCCAACCAAATATAGAGATTTGAATGAGCAAAATTCCAAGAATCTAAGCTCAAGACATGCCCAAACTGCATTTGCACTTCCAATAACAGTCTCTCTGATACTGACTTGATAGCACAAGTCTTTCACAGACCTGCTCACCTGTTACTAGACAAATACTGGCCGATTTTCTCTTGGTTGTTCCACAGCAGCCTGTGCAGGGCCAAAACATTCCCATCACTAACGAAGGACAGGCTGTGGCTGAGAGAGTCACTCGCCGGGCAGTCAGAGGCGATGTCCAGGAAAAATCTAGAAGGAAACCCAAAGTTTAAACTAGCTGGTGACAGGATCTAAATCCTGAAGATCACTAATCGCTTTCTTACCTTCTGGCTGCATCAAAATTACTGGGAACGGCGCTAACCAAATTACAACCGGCGGCAGTTCAGCCAGCTCCTCCACCAGCTCCAATGGGATTATGACCACCAACAAAAACAGCACAAACCAGAATGCTAAAGATGCAACTGTCAGCGCCCTCGTAAGCAGTTCCTCCTCTTCCTCCATGACTAGCTTCTTCAAACTTCTGCTGCTTGTGTCCATGGCTCTGAGCTTTCTAAAGATGATACAGTGACCATCAACCTCCCTTGTGCTTTGAAGGCAGACAATAACGTGAGATTCTTCAGAGACGTAATAGTTTTTCTGAAATTCTATGCAACTGTCGTAGATGTTACACAGCTTGTAACAAACAGCTTTTTGCTTAACATTAGAGAAAAATATTTAAAATATTGATACTATTCACAACTATTATGAAACGGGAAATCAGTTTTTTTTTTTTATTGCTGTAAAATCTTCATACTTTAACCAGCAAAAGTACATCTATGCATCTGTAAGCTATTGTTAGTTAACTGATTGTTTTCAGAAGCAATAAAACTTTGAACAAAAAGAATGTTGTGTGCTTTTGTAATTCTTTTTTTGAAGTCTTACCTGCGAGTTACATAGTAAAACACAGGGTTTCCGTTCTTTGAGGTTCCAGCCTGGTAAAAGATATTAAGAGTCTTCAACGCTTTAAACTCTTCTTTCTCATGCACCTGGTGTCTAAAGAAAAAGAAAAACAGTTATGAACTGCAAAGTTAAAGTGGGGTTTCAGCTTAAAATAAGAAAAACTGTGTTAGAAAAATACTAATTCAAGCTAAGAAGAATGTTTAGATTTTTTAATTAATTTATTTATTTTTACTGGAAAAGTAGACAAAAATACTGTGTATTCTGGAAGAATAAAAAAAAATAAAAAATACAGTGCAACATTTTCTACCTTGTCATAAACTCCTCAAATTTGGAGCTGGTGAGATTCAGGCTGGACCAATGAGTATCTGCTACAGGTTTGTGTTCTGGGGGACCCAGGTAAGCAAGCAGGGTGGCCATCTTATCAAAGGGCCTCCTTCCAACAGCTTTATGATCCCTGAAGAGTTTGGAAAAATATTCTCTGATTAACTGAAACGTCACTGAGAATTTGAGAATCATCAATAATTGTATGCTTACATTACAATATTTTCCTGAAGCACAGATATAAAGCATGACAGAAAATGGATGATGATTATTTTTACAACAAAACAGCTGTCCCTTAAAGATAGTGTCAATCAGATCAGAGAGAAACAAGTCGAGGAGGGAAAGTAAAAAATGCAAATCAGTTCCCAACCAAATATAGAGATTTGAATGAGCAAAATTCCAAGAATCTAAGCTCAAGACATGCCCAAACTGCATTTGCACTTCCAATAACAGTCTCTCTGATACTGACTTGATAGCACAAGTCTTTCACAGACCTGCTCACCTGTTACTAGACAAATACTGGCCGATTTTCTCTTGGTTGTTCCACAGCAGCCTGTGCAGGGCCAAAACATTCCCATCACTAACGAAGGACAGGCTGTGGCTGAGAGAGTCACTCGCCGGGCAGTCAGAGGCGATGTCCAGGAAAAATCTAGAAGGAAACCCAAAGTTTAAACTAGCTGGTGACAGGATCTAAATCCTGAAGATCACTAATCGCTTTCTTACCTTCTGGCTGCATCAAAATTACCCTTCACAAAGTCATTAAACGGCCTCATGTGCTCCTCTTTCGTGAACAAAACATGGTTGGCAATACTTTGCAGCATCTGACAAATGAAATGCAAGTCTGTTTAAAATGGAAACCTCAAATCTTTCCGTTTGGTCTTCAACTTTATTGTACATTATAATATATTATCTTTCATCATGCTTCTATTAAAGTAATAAAACACTCATGGCCATGCACTGCAGTGATTTTAGGCATTGTTGCTATTATTTAAGTGGCTTATTGATTAATTAAACCCTTCTAGATGGTTGGCTTTCCAGATCATGGACCTGCTTTTGACCTGGCAGACCTTTCTGGACCAGCAACAACATAAGCTGGTACAACCTGTTTTCATAAATTTATATAAAAGTAGTATTCATTTAATCTCTATGCAAAATACTCTCACCTTTGACATGAGTTTAAGGCCTCTTTCTATCCTGGGTGAAGGCTTTTTGTCGAGAATCCCAGCCTCGTAGGGAGAGACTATAGCCGGGTTCACGAAACGCAGAAACATGGCACTACCTACTGCTCCAATACTGTTCTGTGGGAAACGTTGTCTCACCACCTGAAACCAAAACAGAAATACACAGGAATGTGAAAAAAGGATTTTATGAGATAACATGATGCTATTTCATTAGGGCAGTTCCAATCCAGAACCAAAATTCATAATAGCATTAACACATCTGAACATTTTAAAGTCAAGGCATAGATGATCATATGATATCTGTTGGTTAAGCGGATAACATGAGGTTCTGTGAGGGAACTATCTGAATGAATTGGCACCAGACGCTTTAGAGTTACAGTGTGGAAAGCAGTTTGAAGCCGTTAAACTGTCTAATTATGGCGGAGGTCTTCACCAGTGACCTTTAAGAATGTTAGAGAAGAAAAGAGGGAAAAGCGAAGCATTTAAAATGGCACTACAGAGAAATGCGTTTTACTCAGAATAAACATTTCAGGTTGTACAGTCAAGCGTAAAATCATTCTGGCATTCAAAAAGGGGCGAAGTTCATTACCAAATTGCATTACCACACAACGTATCAACTGCATTCAATGCCCTGATAATTTCCAACCCTCAGTCCTGAGAGTGACGGCTCATGCAAAGATGATGGCCGGAGCTACAGCGTTTGTTGTTTTTCCCGGAGCTGGTTCTAAGAGGTACATTCAGTGACAGCTTCAGCTTGCCAAAAATCAGGAAATTAGTAGACATGATTTAATGTAATGACAGTAATGCAGGCCAGAGTGCACAAAAGAGGAAGCAGATACGTCCGCCATTCACACTTACTGCTTTCCTCACTTCCTTTCTGTCTTTGACAGATGCTTTAGACAGGAGAGAGTGACAAGTAGCCTACAGAACAGAAATGAGCACAAACAAGTCATGGCACAAGCTAACACACACACACACGGGCGCGCGCGTTTCCTAACTATTAGGAATGCAAAGAATATGCATGGAAAAGTATTTTATAACATTTTTTTTTTTACTGTCCCTTTTAATCAATTTAATGGATCCTAGCTGAATAGAAGTATTAATTAAAAAAATAAATAAAACTGACCTCAAACTTTTGCACTATAGAGTAGTTTAAACTTTTTACCATTATAATTCATTCGGCAGAATTCCACAGATTTTCCTGCACAACTGGCCTCATTTATGTAGCAGTTACAATGAATTTATATAGCATTCATAAAATCAATCTTTTGTAAATTATCACACTTTAGTCTTTTGTAAACTATTTACACTAACTTAAGTGCAGAAAACGGTTTGCGGATTCTGTGTGGCCTTTTCATCACATACACAGGGACTGATGTCAAATATGTATCTGACAGAAACTAGTTCTACAGCCTCCGCACAATTCAGATTTAAAATCACATTTTAAATAAGCTACAACATTTATTTAGATTCCAAAGGCCATCTCATTTGTGATAAATTGTGCTTAAATAAGACCAGAAACATGCATTAAGAATGTCAATTTTGATTTCATGTTGGGCTTTAAACTGTTTAATTCAACAGTCTCCACAGCAAAACTGAAGCATATTTGACATTAGTAATATGTGACTCTGGACCACAAAACCCGTCTTAAGTCGCTTGGGTATATTTTTAGAAATAGCCAAAAAAACATTGTATGGGTCAAAATTATCGATTTTTCTTTTATGCCAAAAATCATTAGGATATTAAGTAAAGATCATGTTCCATGAAGATATTTAGTAAATTTCCTACCGTAAATATATCAAAACGTAATTTTTGATTAGTAATATGCATTGCTAAGAACTTTATTTGGACAACTTTAAAGGTGCAATAGGTGATTGTCTTCAGAAACATTTTTTGTTATGCTGGTTGAAAGTCTCTTCACATCACGATAGCAATCATTAAGTTAAGTGGTCTAAATGTATTTATCTGTATTTATATATTCTGTGGAAGGCGTAGGACCAAGAAATGTTCGTCCAATCAAAACGCTCGGTCCGAGCATTTTAATTGGCTTTCCTGCCTGTCAAGGTATGTATTAGCATGCCTCTGCACACCCTGTTCGCGCAGACAGGATACGTTATCAGCACGTTCACGCACGCGGTGAAGACAGAGCGAGAATGGCAGACAAACATCAACAACTCGATCTTCCTTCCTGGTATTGTAGTACTTTTAAAGTTTTCTCACCGGTGAATGACACATGATGTAGCCCAGCGGTTCCCAATTCCTGCACTTGCGCGCCCCAGCTCTGCATATTTTGCATGTCTCACTTAGTTAACACACCCGATTCAGATAACCAGCTCGTTAGAAGTGAGCTACGTGAATGAACTGTGTTCCGATCGACATCCGATCGACATGATCTCTACACAGTGTTCATTGCTCCCTACTCTCTGAGCAGGGGAAATCCATTGAAGTTTACTTCACTTCAGAACATTCATTCACGGATTTGCGCTGCGCAGCGTCTTCACACACATCACACTCACACACACACGTCTTCACATCCAGTGCGAGGACTGGAATTGGGAACCGCTGATGTAGCCTATTGTAGTAATGTTGTCTCTGGTATTCTGGTCTGTGAGCGACGAGTGTATATATGCGTTCAGGGGGCGTGGCCTTGGACGGCGATTGCAGGGAGGGTGGGACATTCGCTTTCAGTGCTATCAGGCTAAAGTTAGCATTTTGCAAGATCTCCTACTGCACCTTTAAAGGCGATTTTCTCAGTATTTTTTTGCACCCTCAGATTCCAGATTTTCAAATAGTTGTATCTCGGCCATACCATACATCAATGGAAAACGTATTTATTCAGCTTTCAGGTGATGTATAAATCTCAATTTAAAAAAAATGGACCCTTATGACTGGTTTTGTGCTCCAGGGTCACATATCATAACACATGGGGATACAGATATACACAGAAACCATCTCCACATAGGTTTAATATCCTTCAGGCATTTTGCGCTCCGAGTAATCACCTCAGAGGTTTCTTCAGCCTCACCTGAAAGAGACAGTGACAGACGCTGCGGAGCTGAGGAGGAAACTCGCCAGATGAGCTGATTATGGCCTGAAAGAAACGATCGGTCATCCGTAACAGATTGCGCTGGTTCTCCTCCAAATTCTCACCAGTCTCAAGTCTGCAGGAAGAACTTAATTATCTCAGACCAAAATCTGACTATCACATATGCATGTCTGCTGTATTTAATGGATATATAAGACACAGCACCAAAAAAGTTTATCACATAAAAGTACACAAAATGTCCTTAAAATCAAACATTAAAATATATTTACATCACAATGAACTGCACAGGACTATATAATACGCAAAATTATTAATATGCTGGAACAGGTCGAGTAGGAAAATATTTTGATTTCTAAATACTAATTGAATTTCAACAAGTTAACCACATTTATCTTTATTAACCACAGTGTGGTCGGTGCAAATCAGTTTATCCTCATTGCAAGTGAACCTCTATTTAAATTACTCTGGGTTAAATTCTCTTTTACTTTGTGTAGTTTTGTTCATGGTTTGGGGATGACGGCATGTTTTGCAATCGGTCCATGATGCTTCTGCCTAATTTGCTTAGCTTTTATCAAGTGACAGGTGAATTTGCACCAACATGCCAGTTGCGAATCACTGATTTAAATGTTCAGTCAGACAGATACCTGGTGGGATCCACCTCAAAGCTCAGCATCTGCCACTCAGTACCCGTGATCACTGCCCTGAGCAACGGCTCCAACAGCTTCTGCAGATACGTGGCCCCGTATACCTGAAAGAGGGAGTTTCCATTAGTTTCCAAGAAGGAAATTCACAGCTAAACTTAATCTGGATCATTTGAATGATCATTTGACTTCAGTGCATGCCAGGGGAAGCGTAGAGGTACCTTAAAACAGAACGTCATGATTTTACTGGCCAGGCTGTTGCCACGGAACAGCGTTTGCATGGAATCTGCCAACTCCACCTCCTTGGAGAACATATTCCACAGGAGCTGATACAGGAGATGCCTCGAATCAAAGAGAGTCACCAGAACACGGGCCAGTTCATCCTGAAAAGACCAAACACAAGACTAACTAAAATAAACACTCAGACTGCGAGTTTACAGTAAAATCATAGACAGATTTTGACTTTTTCAAAAAAGAAAATAGTGCCTCACACACCCTTATCATTTGTAAATGCACTGGATAAACTCAGAAAAAAAAAAACATTCCTCAAACTTGCATCACAATTTCATTTGCAACATTTCAGTCAAATTACCTTCTTTGGGCTTACAATGTGCAAATAAACTTTTATGACATTTTCAAAATAAAATGGTGAGTAGTAATGGTCAATAATGATGCATGTTCTCATTTTAAGTTAAGTTTAATTCGAGCAATATATATATATATATATATATATATATATATATATAATTGCTTGAGCTGTGTCCCCAAACCATTCCAAAGTTTGACACCACACACAGACACACACAAACTTGTCCTGGTGGTTCTCACCACCTTGACTTTAAGATTCCCACATCCCCTCAGATTATATCCCCCCTCTCTTCCTGTAAAGAACTTTTGAATATTGCCCGGTAGTTCATTTTTGTTGGCTTTATACAAGAGTTGTGCAGTATAAACATCAACTAAATCAAAACTTTTAATAGTCTGGATTGCAGAAATAATATATTTGTATGATCAAAATATCCCACCTTATATATGATTCTAACTGCACGTTTTTGAAGTATGAAGAGGGGATGTAGTGAACTTTTATAGTTATTGCACCAAATTCTATACAATAAGATAAGTAGGGCAAAACTAATGAACAATACAATATATATAATGCATTATATTCCAGGGCATATTTAACTTTATTAATTATATAGATACTTTTGGATAATTTACCTTGTATGTATCTGATGTGTGTTTTCCAGCTTAATTTACTGTCAATAGTTATCCCTAAGAATTTAATTTCTGACACTTTTTCTATTGCAACACCATCTATATTTATTAATACTTCTGAGTTTTCTTTATAATTGCCAAACATCATTACTTTAGTTTTATTTAAATTCAGAGATAATTTATTAACATCCATCCATGTTTTTAGTTTTACTAATTCTTTATTTACTATATTTATAAGTGTATTATAATTATCACTAGAATAGAATATATTAGTATCATCAGCAAATAATATCAGTTTCAATAATTTAGATACATGGAATATGTCATTTATGTATAAATTAAATAACTTAGGACCCAATACTGATCCTTGGGGGACCCCACAAGCAATGCCCAGACACGGTGACGTAAACCCGCCCAACTTCACAAACTGTTGTTTTTCAGTTAAATAACTTTTGATCCAGTTCAAAGCCACTCCCCTAATGCCATATCTTTCCAATTTATTGAGTAAGATTGAATGATTGAGTGAGTGTATCAAAGGCTTTCCTTAAATCAATAAATATTCCAACTGCATATTTTTTTCTGTCTAGGGTGTTTCTTATTTCCTCCACAGCTTCAATTATGGCCATTGATGTTGACCTCTTTGCTCTAAAACCATACTGATTTTCATTTATTATTTCATATTTATCTATACATTTTTCTAATCTATCGTTAAATAATTTCTCTAAAATTTTTGAAAATTGAGGTAGCAGAGAGACAGGTCTATAGTTTGTGAAGATGTGCTTGTTTCCATTTTTATACATTGGTATTACTTTTGCAATTTTAATTTTATTTGGAAATATTCCAGTCTGAAATGATTCATTGCATATGTACGTCAGAGGTTTTGAAATACCATTTATTACTTTTTTAATTAGTGTCATATCTATAACATAACAATCAGTAGATGTTTTATTTTTGCATTTATTAATAGTTTTAATCTCTGTCTCACTCACATCAGAGAGAAAGACGGTCTTCGCATTCCTTTCTATAAATGACTCATTCAATTTATTACTTCTATACTCAGGAATTATTGCTATCAGATCTATATTATAATCTCCACATATGAATAGCATTTTGTTACTTGTTATAGAAAATATTTTTTCCATCCAGTCAATAAATGACTCCATACTTGAACCTGGTGACCTATATATACAACTTTTAATAATATGTTTTTTCTTTTCATTGTGAATTTCAATCGATATACATTCTAGTATATAATTTATTGTTAATGTCATCTTGTCAATTACTTTAAACTTAAAATTTTTATGGACATATATATTATATTTTATACTATTAATAATACTTTTTTAAAAGTTAAAATCATTTAACAAAAAGAAAAAACATAGTTTTGCATTTTCTGCTTGCTAATAGTGAAAGTACAGTGTTTGCTAGGTCAGAAGTTCTCAACTGGGGCCCTCAGGAAACTTTCAAAGGGGGACGCAGGATGACAAAGTATTTAAATTAAAAAAATTATTGTTACTATATTAAAATAATCTAGCTGTAATCTAAATACAAATGCTACAAAAATGAAATCCTCAAGATGGAATCAGTTTTCTTCCCTCACAACCCTCAAAAAGTATTGTTAATATTGAAGAACCTACATTTCTTGAAACTTTTGCCATCAAAAAATGAATTGTGCTTAATTTATAATTTAATATATCAATACTCCCAGTATTTGGTCATAAAAAAAAAGTTTGAAAACAAGCAGCTGTCATAATTACAGCAGAAATATCAGAAATAACGTTCATGAGGAGCCTTCAAGTCAAAAAGGTTGAGAACAACTGTTCTAGATAAAATGAAAGAAAATAAATAGTAAAAAAAGTTCAACTCAAACATCAAAAGAGATAGAGAAAGAGAATGATAATAATATAGATGATTGAATAGATAAGGGGGAAAAAAACTAATTAAAATGAATATGTGAATCTGTCTAAGACCATTGCCAAATCAGTATGCAAATAATCATTGATGGTTAGATTTTGACTTGCAAAGACTCTACTATTGTACGTCGATAAGAGATTCTCAAGTTTGAAAGATTCTCAAGGTTACAATTCTTTGAAGTAAAAAGTTAAGCAATTTTTAAAAAATGTATTAAAATAAATATATGTATAAATATATATATATATATATACATATACAGTATATATATATCTATATATATGTAACATACAGAATTGTGAAAAACAATTGTCTGAATTATGTTGCACAATTATAGCTGAATTAATTACTCATATTGCACTGTAAAAAAAAAAAAAAAAAGATTATTTGCATAAAGTACCCACCCACTGTGAACAAGGGACCACATTGGCCAGCGCCATGGCGATAGGTAACTCCCCCTGATCCCCCATCATTGTGACAAGTTCCACAAGCCTCTCAAAGCGATCGGCCAGCGCGGTCTCTGCCAGTGTGTCAAACTCTGTCCCCTGCTGCAGGATCTTAGTGAGGACCTCCATGAACGTAGCCCTGGTCTGAAGGTCCTTATGATAGCCCAGCCCTGCAAGAGAGCGGCAGACACGCAAACTTTGATTAAATGCATGAGAAAGTCAAGTCACCTTCATTTATATAGTGCTTTATACAAGACAGATTGTGTCAAAGCAGCTTGACAGTAATAAACAGGAAAATAACAGTGTTAATGTTGCAAGGTTTGTCAATTATGAAACCAGTTCAATTCAGATGTAAGCAGCTCTACAGAAGACTATAGTATTATTCATCTCAATTCAATGTTGATTCAATTTAGTTCATTTACAGTGTTGCGGTTACAATATTAGTGTTATTTTCCAGCTTAATTCTGTCCTAGTGTTGAACTGATTGCATATATTAATATATGCTGTTAGATTTGTCACAAAAAGTAATTATTTGAACTAAAGATACAGCTTTATGACTGATTTAAAGGGTTTAATGAGTAAAATAAATGAAATTAAATGTAAAATAAATAAAGAATACATAAATAAAATTTAAATAACAAACTTAACTAAAATAAAATATTTATGAATTTAAAGTGTTAGATGAGAGGTTTACGGCTCGATTCTCCCACCGATAGAGTGCATAAGGCCGCTGTCCACATTGGCGTTGAGCAGGTTGGACATGGCCAAGACGGTGCAGTGCCTTAACGACGCCAGCCGCCTGGACATCCCTCGCTTACGTCCAGCCACCTGCTGACCCTCATCCTCCACTTCACTGCAGTCGTTCAGCAGGTTCATGAACAGAGTGAAGTACCTGTGGAGGACAACAGGGGCTGAGTGAAGTACAGACCCCATGACGGGACACTATAAGACCTAGTGTTTGATATGGAATATGAGAGTCTTACTTCAGGAAGAGCTGAGATTTGGCCTCCATCAGCTCCACACCGTCCCCCTCCTCTGGCTGAAGGGGCAGCCCAGCCAGAAGAGACACCACTGCCTCCATACTGGCCTGATCCAGATCCCTGCCATTCAAAACCAAAAAGCTCAGAGCAAAAAAGTTTTTCATTTTTGATTTGTCCTGCACATAATGGTTATCAAAGTTTCTCAAACCAAAAGTCCAATGGAGGATGTTCAGTAAGCAATGCCATCTGAATGTTACCTTGTGAGGCATTTGACATCTTCGTCAGCTGCCTGGTTGGATGCCCCCATCACCCAGTCTGTCAGATACTCCACCATCTTATTCCTGAGAGAGACACAAATCTGATGCATCTCCAGAGAAGAAATAAAACATTCCAGATAATCGGACTAACAAATAAATAGTAGGACTACAGTAGCGTTGTTGTACCTGAACTTCATCTCTTGGCAGAAAGAGAGGTCATCTCTGCGCTCCATCATGATCTCTACCAGCTGGCACAGTTTGGTTTTAATCTGGATGGCATGAACCATGTTGCCAAGAATATGCACATACCTGCCAACATACCAACAAGCATAATACTTATGGTTTAAGCACACAGGAATCAACAGTTAGGGTAACATAGATGAGGTTTTGTCAAAATTGCAAGAATGAAAAAAATTTACTATAAATTTAGTATAGGGACTAACTCTCACTATTAACGAGTTGCTTATCAGCATGCCCACTAATAACATATTGGCTGTTTATTAGTACATATAAAGCACATATTCTGCATGACCATATTCTACATCCCTAATCCTGCCCAATAACTAAACTTAACAACTACCTTACTAACTATTAATAAGCAGCAAATTAAGAGTTTATTGAAGCAAAAGTCGTAGTTAATGGTTTGATAATAGTGCGAATTGAACCTTAAAATAAAGTGTGACAAAATTAAAGTTTAAAAAAGTATAATATATAGTTTAAAAAGGTATAATAAATAATTAAATTATAATAAACAATATATATAATAAATATTAAATTATAAATTAAAATATAAAAGTTTGGGTCAGTAAGATTTCTTTTTTTAAAGAAATTAAAGGGACAGTTCACCTAAAAATGAAAATTCTGTAATTAATTACTCACCCTCATGTCGTTCCAAACCCGTAAGACCTTCGTTCATTTTCGGAACACAAATTAAAATATTTTTGATGAAATGTGAGAGCTCTCAGACCCTGCATAGACTGCAACGCGACTGAATGTTCCCAGGTCCAGAAACGTAGTAAGGACATCGGTAAATCAGTCCATGTGACATCAGTGGTTCAACTTCAGTTTTGCGAAGCTACGAGAATACTTTTTGAGCGCAAAGAAAACAAAAATAACAGAATTTATTTAACATTTCTTCTCCCCCGAGTTATGTCTTCTGCCATTTTAGAGAGTATCACAATGCATACGCACGCTTTCCCCTAAGCGTAAACAACGCTGATTACGCAGATTACGTTCATGCGTGCGCTTTCTCCCCTAAACGTAAACAACGCGCTGGACAGAGCTCCAGCCCCACCAGGTCTTTGACGTTAGTGCGGATCTGGTAGCCCTTCTCATGATTGCACACCATCAGCGACAGAAGACGGTCCAGAAATCTATTCAGCGGTGTCTCTGGGTTCCCCTCACACGAGGCCATGGACACCATGGAGCCCTTGCGATCGTTCAGGGTGCCCATGGGAGGACTGTATGTGGCCAGAGCAGACGTGTTCCTCTGCTGCAAACACACTCCACCCAGCGCACACAGGAAGCCTGTCATATTGATCCATTCCTAAGGGATGAGACAGGATTTTCATGTCATGTCAACATTTCGTCATGTCATGTTTTTCAATGTTTTTTTTGTTTGTTTTAACAGTGATCAATTAACTTATTATTGGTCAATTAAATTATTATAGCGGTTAGTAATTATATAATAATTGTAGTAATTATTACAGCAGAATTTTATACATATATACACACGGGAGTGCACATAAGTTTTTCAATCTGGTTCTCATGAAAGCACCTGGAGATTTGGTTTGGTGCTCACAGTGCACATAGTGTGACCCATTAAAAACAACTATAAAAAATAAAATAGTTTATAATAGTAATATTATTATTATTGCACTTTATTTAGTAAAAATAAAAAATAAAGTGTGATAATACTATTAGACTTTTAAATTAAAAAATTAGTATTAAATAAAAACACAATTATTTTATAGTACACTAAAAAATACTATACTAATATTTACCTTTTAATTTTTTTTCTTTTCTACTTTTTTATTTTTATATGAATTTTCAACATTTTCAAATCTAATATCAGCAAGCTTTTATTTTGGTGGGTTGCCAAAATTTGTGTGTGTGTGTTTAAACTTAAGTTGATAAAATTGATAGTTTGAATTATACAGAATTTTTGAATAATTCTCAAATAATACAATAATAACCGATTTAGTTCAAATAAAAAATAAAAACCACTACTCACATTTTTGGAAAAACAACTATTCTCTAAAAAGAAAAAGTGTAAAGTGATAAATGTTACGTTTCAACACTACAAATTAGGAAAAGGTATTTAAAGAGATAAAATATTACAACATATTCAAAATAATGCAATATATGAAAAAATGATTATATATTTTATAAACTAATAATAATTAATAAGGACGTTAATAATATAAGAATGATTTTAAAGCATTTTTTTTTCTTTACAAATTAACCTAATGGACAGAAATGTTCCTTAAACTGAAGAATCACCCATATGTAGACAAAAATCTATTTTCTAATTGTAGGCCCTGTACAGATGCTGTACAGAGTGTAGGTGTAGGTGTGTCTGACCTGACTGTCTTCTAGTTTCGTTTTCGGGTGGCTTAAAATTAATTTGGTTGCATGTTCCCATTTAGCATGTGTCTCCTCCCAGGCCTGAAATGATTAAACAGAGCTGTTAAATTCTGTCATCCATGTTATCTTCAAAAAAAAATTTTTTTTTTTAAACAAACCACAGAAACAGCACACAAGTACTAGACTGTGAAATTCAACCACATTATTTGTAAAACAAATCAAGTTTTACATATGCTAAAAGGCTCAGATTCAAAACAATTGTTAAATAATACAATGGCACACAACCAGGAAGATGCAAATGTATTCGTCAACCAACCAAAATGACTCTACTACTGTACAATGGCATTACATGTGTAAATGTGTGACCTCTTACCTCTGTGTTTCCCGGGGTGGGCAACTCAATCCTCCGAAGCAAAGCCATTACTCTCTTCTGTAGAGCCGAACGACCTAGAAAAATCAGAAAGATCACAAAAACTGTGCTGCCCTCTAGAGGCACCTGTAACATCACTCACAAATCTAAAAAAACAGAGGTATGTGTCCGAATCCATAAATTCAAACTAGTCTATCAGACAAACCTGCAATCATCATGTTACTAACAGATGCAAACTCCATGAAAGTGTTGTAGTTTGGCAGAAGGGACTGCACAGGAATGTCTTCCCCACTGCAGCGGATGTCTGCCTCCTCACACAGGTAGCGGAAACAGGACGTAGCCACCAGAACTGCCTCCATGTCTGGACTCCACAGGAACATGTAAAGACAGACCTCCAGCTTGGTCTGGGGCTGCCGGCAGATGGCAATGTTGCTGCCTGCTGTGGCTCGATCCTGTAAGAGAAGAACAGATAAAAGAAAGAAAAATAAAATGTAATTCGTCAATATAGCCAATATTGGCCGTTTCATTTTTAATGTTGCTGCCTGCTGTGGCTCGATCCTGTAAGAGAAGAACAGATAAAAGAAAGAAAAAAAAAATGTAATTCGTCAATATAGCCAATATTGGCCGTTTCATTTTTTTTTTTACATTTCCTGGTTGATATCCTTGCTCTTTTGCTGCACAGGAAAGTCAGGTCAAACACACTGCATTGTGGGATAAGGTATAGTAGTGTAGTTTGGTTGTACATTTCACCTTGCCAATAATAATAATAATAATAATTAGTAGTAGTAGTAGTATATATTATTTATTATTATTATTAATTTTAATATTTAAATTGTATTTGTATCCCACACAGTGTAGTTTGGTTATATACTTCACACTTTGGCAAACAACAACAATCATAATAATAATAATAATAATAAGTTATCATTTGTACTACACAAGTTCTTAATTTATATGAATTATTTTCATTATTTAATTTTTATTTGTACCCCACACTGTTTAGTTTAGTTGTATACTTCACACAATTGATAATAATAGTGATATTAATAATAAGTTATTATTATTATTGTTGTTGTAATAAAATATATAATAATAATTTATATAAATTTTTATTTAAAAAAATGTAAATTTTATTTGTACTGCACAAGTGCTTCCCAGTTCAGGATATAAAAACAAGCCAGATAACAACAGTAACAAGAGGAAACATAAAAGTGAAAGATTAAAAAACAAGGAAATGTAACTGATGTTTTTAGAAATATCCAGATGATGTAGTCAAGGGTATGCAAACATTTTACCCATAATGCCCTGTGTGCAGAGGGCCAACTCACCTTGTTCCTGAGAAGAAATTTGTTTCTGCAGATGAGAATCTCTCGCAGCCACTTCAGAATCTCAGTGCTGTTGATCAGCTGATGACCAAACAGCTTCTTACATATGAAGAACAGCACCTGAGAACTGGACCGACAGCAAATACACAATTAACAGGGCAAAGTTTCATTTCTATCAGCAACTATTCTCTGGAGTCGAGTCCACTGAGGAGCTACCTGATGTCCCAGAAAGTTTCCATAGGAGCATCTGGGTTCCACAGCTCGATGCTTTCAGACTGATGCAGGACCAAAAGAGCCTAAGACAGAGACAGATTATGACTGAAAACATACACACAGACTATCTAAACTCATGCTAGAGGCACCAGATAAACAGAGAGATACAATGATCTCACCTCCATGGCCTCCTGGGAAATATCTCCCATGTTAGCAAGAGACACAAGCTGCACCAGTCCTGTGACGAGATCCGCCGTGCTGCTGTGGACCTCCAGACCCTGTTTACCTGGATTCTGATTCACAAACACACACGTGACATTAGAAGTACAGTAGAGCATAACTTTATAAGTATCACATATCTTTATAAAGCTGAACCACTCACATGTAGCATCAGTTTGGGATCTGCATGGATGAGTTTCACCAAAGCCAAAAGCAGATACTTGTGACTCCTGGTGTCCAGATCAGTGGTTTTCTCTTTAAATTTCAGACTGCTCATTTTCAACGTCAAACTCTGAGAGGAAGACAGATATGATGTACTCATGAAGTATTTATTTTAATTTCTTAATTTATATACCATACACGGTTCATAAACTTCGTAAATTTAAATGTATAAGTATTATTTACATATATTTTATCTGTGATTTTGATCTTTTTTTCCTAAACTGAATTAAAAATGCTAAACTGTCATATTCATTTCTGAGATGACTGCTTGCCACTCTATGAATTAATTATGCAACATAGTGATGTCATGGACTATTTGGAACATTCATTTGTAGCATACTGTATGCTGTTTCACATACTACGTCTAAAAATAGTAGCCTGTCTGCATTAAACTGTGCAGTACACAAATATTCTATTCCCAGAGTCTTTCCCCCATGTCAGACTGCTAGCAGGACACTAGAGGTTATCTTATATCTGAGAAGTTTTGCGGGCATCTCACCGAGGTCATACGGAGGGGGGCGTGACTGCTGCAGCCCTGCACCGCTCTCCCCAGAGTCTCAGCAAACATGAGCCGCAGCTCTCCCGAGTAACAGTACACGGTATCGATCTTCGGCCACCAGTCCAGCGGGGACTAGAACATGATGGAAGACACACAGAGGACATTTGGACACCCTGGGAGTGAATCAGACATCTTATCTCTCTGAAGTGAACTAAGGACACTAGGAGCTCTTACATTAGTGATGATTCGGTGGAGAGAATTCACCAGAACGAAATGAAAGGTAGGAGGTGAGGACGGAGCCAGACACACCTTACAGAAAAAGAACGAGAGATTTGGTGAAAGCATTCTTTAGGTCAAGTCTGTGTATGCTCTTGGAACAGTATACAAATCGAATAAAACAAATGAATTAACAATTTAATAATTAACAACTATTTATACAGCTATAACACTATATATACACACAAATACAACTATAAACATATCCAACTTTCCCTGAATACATACAATAATACACTCCTGAGTGCTGTATATAGCTTATCTCAACTGCTTAATTGATTTATACAGTACACTCACATAAAACGGTATATACTATAGAGCAAATCTCTGCTGCGTGATTGTTTATACCTTGGTAAAACGCAGAGCTCTATACATATGTTTGGATATATACTGTATCCAACTTCATTTGCATTCATACAGTACACTCACGTAAAGAGATATATACAGTACTATACAGCAAATATCAACTGCCTGATTTTTTATTTTGTTGCAAAATTTAACTATATTATCACCCAGCTCTTTATATAAAGTTGGATATTTAAGTAAGACCAACTTTATGCTCATACATTATTATATTTGCACTTGTTATTTATTAAATTACACTTGTAACGCAAAATGTAAACTATATTATCAGCCAGCTCTAATCTTCAAAATGTGACTATAAAGACACATAAAGATAATTATTAAGAAATTATTACATTAACGTTATGATTTTCTGTAAAGCTGCTTTGAAAGAATTTGTATAGTTTAAAGAGCTATAGAAATAAGCTTGACTTGACTTGCCCCACACACCTTAAATTGCTGATTGTTATGCGGGTTGATTCTGAAACAGGAGACAAAACAGTCGATCATCAAGTCCAAGTCTGCACTCTGGCTCCCTGCGCCTCTGGAAAACGGTTTAGCTGGGTTAAACAGCAACCCCTGGAAACAAAGAGACAACAGTCAATGAAAAGGACAGCATCAACACGAAACATACAGATGCATCTGAGCCACTGTGAGTTGCCAGGTTTGGGTTTCTTTAAGTGTTCGTTCCTGGGCGATGCAGATTGGAGTCCTGTCTGCAACATTTTCCACCTCCATTCCTTTTCTTACTCCTTAAGCATTCTCTGCTACTCTCAACAACACAAAGCAGCCAAAAACTAAAATAAAACGGTCCAAATTCTACCTGAGAGCCATATTTGTCCATACCTTCAGATCCATGACGATGGACTGCACTAGCAGGAAGATAACGGAGTGATCCTCCCAGCTGATGTATGTGGACGCTTTGCAGAGTTTAACGCAGGCAATTGCTGCACTTTCTGTCAGCTGTTTGCTTCCACTGTGACCAGTCAGGGCTTTCCGTAGATTCTCCAAAAACAGTTTCTACAAGATAAAAAGCAACACATGAATACATATTACAAACAGTTCAGAGATAATCCAATTATAGTTTACAGTATGAATATTTTACTAATGTTACAAAAAAAGTGAGGATTTGTAAACTATCTATAAAGTACAAACTGTGTGATGTAGTTGTCTAGATTTGGCACGTGCATGAGGAAGGGGGTGCGTATATGTTTTTACATTAGTGAGGCTCAAATGGGTTTTATCAGTGGCCGATATATATATATGTGTGTGTGTGTGTGTGTGTGTGTGAGAGAAAGAATTGTTTAAATAAATGAACATTTTAAATAAAAATATTAATGAAAAAATTATTAATAATATTCATTCATTTATTTTTAAATGAATGTGCTATAGAAATATAAATAAATAAATAACTTAAAGATGGCAAATTGCTAAATTACATTTACTTTACACAATATGTGACCCTGGACCACAAAACCAGTCATAAGGGTAAATTTTTTTAAATTGACATTTATACATCATTTGAAAGCTGAATAAATAAGCTTTCCATTGATGTATGGTTTGTTAGGATAGGACAATATTTGGCCGAGATACAACTATTTGAAAATCTGAAATCTGAGGGTGCAAAAAAAATCAAAATATTGAGAAAATCTCCTTTAAAGTTGTCCAAATGAAGTTCTTAGCAATGCATATTACTAATCAAAAATTAAGTTAATATATTTACAGTAGGAAATTTACAAAATATCTTCATGGAACATGATCTTTACTTAATATCCTAATGATTTTTGACAAAAGAAAAATCAATAATTTTGACCTATACAGTGTATTTTTGGCTATTGCTACAAACATACCCCAGCGACTTGAGACTAGTTTTGTAGTCCAGGGTCACATATTTAAATATTGTCTATAAGTAGTTTTTATAATTTAAGAACAATAATGGTCAAGAGGATATCTTCACAAGTACACACGCACAAGTTTGTGTATGCTTGCCTTGTTGTCTTTCGCGTCATCTGACGTGTCTCTGGACATGTCTTGAGTGATGTCAGGACACAGGATGAGGAGGATGATCTGCAGGGGCCAAACAGCTGCTTTCCTCTTTGTACTCTCAGCAAAACTATCCACCAGATCAAACAACTTCTCGGCACACTCTGAAACACACACACACACAGATCAAATTCACATATCCTCTCCAAAACAATACTGATATGATACAGTGAGGTTTTCAGCGGACGCACCAGCCATGTCTGCCTGAGGCCTCTGGTACAGCCTGGTGAATTCATCAGCATAATTTTCCACCCAGTTCCAGAACGCCTGCAAATTCAATCAAATTAAAACACACAAATACAGCAGATGTTTGCTACACTGAGACAGACATCACTAGGTGGCAGCAGAGACAATTTCATACAAAACACCAACACATTACAAAATATGTTAAATTAAACATTTAAATCTATAGAAGTATTACTTCACAGTCAACAATATTCAGGATAATGTACGCTTTTTGTATTGTGCATAATTATTATTATTGTCATTCTTATGAGTCATTTTATTTCAATATATACCCACAGGATTAAGTGACTCTACAACATCTACGAATTTGTATCCTGCTTATGTATTACCTGTCCAGTTAAATCATAATTTGTCTTCGTATGCATTTGTCCCTCAAATGTTCTGTTGTTCTGTCATAGGTTATTTTATTTAATTGTTTATTTTATTATTGTAATTATCTTTTTTCCCCTGTTGTCGTTGTTTGTTCGGTGAAATTTTTTTTTTTTTTAATCTATAAAAGCAAGAAACTGTCCTTGATATAACAATGAAAATTAATTACAGTATTATGTATAAAAAACAATCATAATATTATTAATAAAGAGTCACAGCTTTAATTAGCTTTTGTGTAGTAGTAGTAATAATAATAAATAAATAAATATGAATTATGATATACTTTAAATTGTAATAAATCTTTATAATGTTAAGGTAATGCATAAAATGCATTTCTTTATAACAATAATATATAAAAATAAAAATAATATAATTACAGTTATTATTTTAAATTGTATAATATGAGCCACATAGCTGTAATATGCACATAATAATAATCATCATAATAACAATAATAATTCCACCTACCTTCTCTAAATTGTAGATGACACTCAACTGGGCTGGCTTCTTCAAGGCTTTAAATTTCAACACAGTTTCTGCAAGGAGAAAAGACTTCATCTTTAACTCTTTGACACATTAAAAGAAAAAACAGATACTTTTTCTGTTGCCTCTAATATTTTCTCCCGAATTCCCCACATCAACTTATTTATGCTCCGAGTACTGAAACCTTCCAATCAAACCTTGCAGGAGGCGTTTAAATTTACAGCAGTCCACGTTGATGTACTGGATGAGCTCGATGTCGTGCACGTCTACGTTATCCTCAGAGCAGACGGTCAGCTCCTGCAACCTGCAGGGAAGCAGACAGACAGAAAATCAGAGAGATCAAACCCATTCATTCCTTCATCTAATCACAAGTGGTTGTATGTACCTGGTGGAGATGCGGCTGAAGACAGCGCTGAAGTTACTGCAGCTCAGAGAGAACAGAACCCCACAGGCTGAGTTCCTCAACTCGGCCGCGTGCTGGTTTCCCTCACGGTACGTGTGGATGAAATGACAGATCTCGGGCAATAACTGCTTTACGAGCATTGTCTCATCCAGACGCATGCTGTCCTTTGGTTGCTGGAGAGAGAAAGAGTTTATAGGACTTCTTTATAGGAATGATCAACATCTAGATGTGCCTCTCGGAGCTTCAAAATGATGTTGAAAAGGCAATAATGGCATAATGGTGACAGCTCATGGATATCAGACACAATGAATGGTCTGCGGGTGTCTCTCACCCCTGCCAGGCACTTCTCCAGTGTGTCCATGATGATAAGCTGGGACAGGTAAAGGTTCTTCTCTGCAGTATCACCAAATATCCGCTGTAAGAGACAGAGAGAGCAAACTAAGAGAGAGAGACAAGCACATGTGGCAGAGAGTTCTAGCACAAAGGACCGTCTCCAACAGTCTAGAACAAACGCTCACAGTAGCTCTTGCCTAGTGACCGACCAATATTTTTAATAGCCAGTAGCCTATCAATAACTAGACAGAAAGACAAAATGTTGATATGAGATCAATAACAAAGGAGAAAGTAAAAAAAAAAATTTTCAGAAATAATAACCTAACAAATTTACTCCAAAATCATTCAAAAATGTTACATTTTAAAATAAGCAAAGCTGCTAAAGACTGTCCAGGAGCTTTTTTTTTTTTTAGCAACAATGCATTAAATTGCTCAAAAGTGACAGTAAAAACTTGTTACATTTAGCTATGTTCACGTTTCTTTCAAATAAACGCTGGTCTTTTGAACTTTTTAGTCATCAAAAAATCCTGAAAATAAATATATCATGGTTTCCACAAAAATATAAAGCAGCACACTGCTCTCAGCACTGATAATAAAAATAAATGTTTCTTGAGCACCAATTCAGGATACTGGAATGATTTCTGAAGGATCATGTGACACTAAAGACTGGAGTAATGATGCTGAAAATTCAGCTTTGCGATCACAGGAATAAATTACATTTTTAAAATGTATTAAAATAGAAAACAGTTATCTTAAATATAAATAATATTTTACAATATTACTGTTTTTACTGTATTTTTGATCAAATAAACAACCTTAGTGAGTGCAAGAGACCTTTTTTTATAAAAACCTCCCTGACTTTGAACACTTTTGAATGGACGTGTGCATATTATAAATCACGCGGGAAATCACGCGGCGACGGGACATGTTTTTACATCAATGAAAGGTGGTGTACAGATGTTACAGCGTTAAAAAAGATGTGCTGTTCCGATCTAGAAGTGCTTTTCATTAACTGTAAGCCGTTCTATTCGCCGCGGGAGTTTCACTCGTTCATTCTCGTGAGTATTTACATTCCTCCGCAAGCACATGTGAGCTCAGCTTTACAGAAACTCGCTGATCAGATCACAGAGACAGAACAACCACACCCGGACTCTGTTTTAATCATTCTCTGTGACTTTAATAAAGCAAATCTTTCCCGTGAACTGTCAAAATACAGACAGCATGTTACATGTCCCACCAGAGACAGTAATACACTGGACCATTGTTACTCCACAATAAAGGATGCATATCGCTCGGTCCCCAGAGCAGCTGTAGGACTCTCTGACCACTGCCTGGTTCATCTTATACCGACCTACAGGCATAAACTTAAATCTGCTAAACCTGTAGTAAAGTCTGTAAAGAGGTGGACCAACGAAACAGAGCAGGCATTGCAAGCCTGTTTCGACTGCACTGATTGGAGTGTTTTTGAAGCAGCCACCAACGATCTGGACGAGCTCACAGAATCTGTAACATCATATATCAGTTTCTGTGAAGACATGTGCATCCCTACCAGGACTCATTTAACATTCAACAATGATAAGCCATGGTTTACAGCAAAACTTCGTCATCTTCGTCAGGCCAAAGAGGACGCCTACAAAAGGGGGGACAGAGTCTTGTACAATCAGGCCAGAAACACACTGAATAAGGAGATTAGAGTGGCCAAGAGGAACTACGCTAAAAAACTAGAACACCAGTTTTCTGCGAATGAGCCTGCATCAGTGTGGAAAGGCCTGAAGGACATCACCAACTACAAGACACCATCCCCCAGCACTGAGGCCAATCAACAACTTGCTGAAGACCTGAATGGGTTTTACTGTAGATTTGAAACTCCCAGTCTAACACCCCACACCCGCTCTGAACATCTCTCCACACAACCATCAACACCTCCTGCAACCCCCCTCTCCCCCACTCCTACGTTTCAGATCAGTGAGGATGATGTGCACCAGGTCTTCAGGTACTGGATGAGCTCGATGTCGTGCACGTCTACGTTATCCTCAGAGCAAACGGTCAGCTCCTGCAACCTGCAGGGAAGCAGACAGACAGAAAATCAGAGAGGTCAAATCCATTCATCCCTTCCATCTAATCACAAGGGGTCGTACGTACCTGGTGGAGATGCGGCTGAAGACAGCGCTGAAGTTACTGCAGCTCAGAGAGAACAGAACCCCACAGGCTGAGTTCCTCAACTCGGCCGCGTGCTGGTTTCCCTCACGGTACGTGTGGATGAAATGACAGATCTCGGGCAATAACTGCTTTACGAGCATTGTCTCATCCAGACGCATGCTGTCCTTTGGTTGCTGGAGAGAGAAAGAGTTTATAGGACTTCTTTATAGGAATGATCAACATCTAGATGTGCCTCTCGGAGCTTCAAAATGATGTTGAAAAGGCAATAATGGCATAATGGTGACAGCTCATGGATATCAGACACAATGAATGGTCTGCGGGTGTCTCTCACCCCTGCCAGGCACTTCTCCAGTGTGTCCATGATGATAAGCTGGGACAGGTAAAGGTTCTTCTCTGCAGTATCACCAAATATCCGCTGTAAGAGACAGAGAGAGCAAACTAAGAGAGAGAGACAAGCACATGTGGCAGAGAGTTCTAGCACAAAGGACCGTCTCCAACAGTCTAGAACAAACGCTCACAGTAGCTCTTGCCTAGTGACCGACCAATATTTTTAATAGCCAGTAGCCTATCAATAACTAGACAGAAAGACAAAATGTTGATATGAGATCAATAACAAAGGAGAAAGTAAAAAAAAAAATTTTCAGAAATAATAACCTAACAAATTTACTCCAAAATCATTCAAAAATGTTACATTTTAAAATAAACAAAGCTGCTAAAGACTGTCCAGGAGCTTTTTTTTTTTTTAGCAACAATGCATTAAATTGCTCAAAAGTGACAGTAAAAACTTGTTACATTTAGCTATGTTCACGTTTCTTTCAAATAAACGCTGGTCTTTTGAACTTTTTAGTCATCAAAAAATCCTGAAAATAAATATATCATGGTTTCCACAAAAATATAAAGCAGCACACTGCTCTCAGCACTGATAATAAAAATAAATGTTTCTTGAGCACCAATTCAGGATACTGGAATGATTTCTGAAGGATCATGTGACACTAAAGACTGGAGTAATGATGCTGAAAATTCAGCTTTGCGATCACAGGAATAAATTACATTTTTAAAATGTATTAAAATAGAAAACAGTTATCTTAAATATAAATAATATTTTACAATATTACTGTTTTTACTGTATTTTTGATCAAATAAACAACCTTAGTGAGTGCAAGAGACCTTTTTTTATAAAAACCTCCCTGACTTTGAACACTTTTGAATGGACGTGTGCATATTATAAATCACGCGGGAAATCACGCGGCGACGGGACATGTTTTTACATCAATGAAAGGTGGTGTACAGATGTTACAGCCAGAAACTCGCTGATCAGATCACAGAGACAGAACAACCACACCCGGACTCTGTTTTAATCATTCTCTGTGACTTTAATAAAGCAAATCTTTCCCGTGAACTGTCAAAATACAGACAGCATGTTACATGTCCCACCAGAGACAGTAATACACTCCCAGCACTGAGGCCAATCAACAACTTGCTGAAGACCTGAATGAGTTTTACTGTAGATTTGAAACTCCCAGTCCCACACCCCACACCCGCTTAGAACATCTCTCCACACAACCATCAACACCTCCAGCAACCCCCCTCGCCTATGTTTCAGATCAATGAGGATGATGTGCGCCAGGTCTTCAGAAAGAACAAGAGAAGAAAAGCACAAGGCCCAGACTGTGTGACACCAGCCTGTCTGAAAACCTGCGCTGACCAACTGGCCCCCATCTTCTCACAGATCTTCAACAGATCACTGAATCTGTGCAAAGTCCATGCATGCTTCAAACGCTCCACCATCATCCCCGTCCCAAAGAAACCCAAGATAACAGGACTTAATGACTACAGACCTGTGGCCCTAACGTCTGTGGGCATGAAGACATTTGAGAGGTTGGTGTTGGCTTATCTGAAGGACATTACTGGACCCTTACTAGACCCCCTGCAGTTTGCTTACCGAGCAAACAGGTCTGTGGATGATGCAGTCAATATAGGGCTGCACTTCATCCTGCAACATCTGGACAAAACAGGGAATCACTCTGGATCCATCACATCCAAGCCATCTCCTTTTTGAACTTTTGCCATCTGGCCGGCGTTACAGAGCACCGAATACCAGGACAGCCAGGCACAAGAACAGTTTCTTTCCCCAGGCAATCTACCTCATGAACAGTTAATGTTCTCCCATTGTGCAATTAAAGTACAGTATGTGCAATAACCTTATACTTATTAATCACCCTAAACCCTAGTACATCCCTACAACTTATTTTAATTTATTCTATTCCTATTCCATCTATAGCACACCTGTACATACAATTTATTCTTTTTTGTGGTTTATATTTATGTGTATTTTATTCACATCTCATTTTTATTATCTGTGTGTTGTTGTTGTCTCCATGTACTGGAAGCTTGTGACACTATAACAAATTCCTTGTATGTGCAATGATACTTGGCAATAAAGCTCATTCTGATTCTGATAAAATATTAAAAATACACATTAAATACACAATAATTCCATTTGTATTCATATATTGTGCTTGTGCACCAACTCTTGAATAAACACTCACCATGTTATTGACGGTCTTCAGTATGTTGGTGAGTCCACTGGTGACCAGGGAGAATTTGTACCTGGAGATGTTGATCAGACATTCCTTATTGTGCTCTGTGCTGATTTTAGTGTGTGTGTTCTGCACGCCGACTTTCACAGGAAGCTAAAAACACACAAACATGCACAGTTACACTGTGTTCAGGTACAGACACATGCATTCAGAATTGTGCACACAAGTTGCTTCAACCCACTTACAGGACAAACACTCTCTGAATGAGAGATAATAGTGAATCAACTTCATTCTGTTTCTCACGTAAATCTGTTGTGTGACAGAAGACAATGAATATAGTGCACAAGTCGTATGAACCACTTTTATGGTGTTTTTATGGTACTTTTTTTGTCATTTTGTAGCTTGACAGCCCCAGCTGCCATTTATTTCTATTATATGTAAAAGAGTAGCTAGCATATTCTTCAAAAATTCACCTTAGTATTTCACAATATGAGGTGAGCGAATCATGATGGACACATTTAGAAGGTGAACTATTTCTTTAATGAATGAGAAAAAATTCATTAAAGAAATAGTTTACAGAATCAATGAAAAAACGTACTGGGCTACAACAAAGTAAACAGTAGCGAACATCTCAGTTACAAAAAGCAAGTCAGAAAATTGCTAAAACCAATCGGAGACACGGAATCCCATTTTGGGATTATCTAAAGCTTTGGCCAGGCTTAGCTTCACAAAACACCCCTAATCTCTGCTGAACTTCAATCAAACTGCAATGATCCCAACACAGACCACAAGCCACCCTTGACCAGGCCCCTTTAGTGTCCCACCAGTTGGATGGATGGCCTCTGAGACCTTCAAGAACACTGGTCAGTGTGTATACGCCACCGAATCTGGTATTTACCACCAAAAGAAATCAGGCTAAAGACTGGAAACACTGGTTTATGTCTCAAAATTGTCTGTTGTTGCCGTACCTTCAGCAACCTTTAAGGGGCTTGTACCTTTAGTTATCTCTGGTAGATAAGGCCTAAACTATTTTTCTTGTGTTGCCAGTTTAACCAGCTCGTAAACATCATATTTCTCCCGATAGTAACAGAATTTTGCTCGCAAATGGAAAGTTTCTCCAAAATAAAAATGGAAACAAAAACACAAATATTTGAAGAATATCCTGTCAGAAACTCACATGTTGTGATCCACAGAAAAAAAAGTAAGTCAGATGGGATTGGAACAATATGAGGATGAGTAATTAATGACAATTTCTGTGTCTGTGATGATGACGATCTGTTACGTTTGTCAATGTTTCTTTGGTGTCTGGTCGAATATTAGTCAAAAACTTCAGGGCATTTAACACAGGCAGGTTTCTGCAGTTGTAAAAAAACTTTTGCAAATAAGATGAAAAGAAAACATTCTAGCTTAACCATTCACAGGCTTTTGTCTGGTAAACAATGGGTTATATTTCTAACTTATAACCTATTTCTTATGTACAACTGCAGGTTTAAACCAGTAGGATCTGCACTAAAGTCAGGTCTTTAAGGGTTAAACTGATGACGCAGCTCTTAAACGAAAAAGTGAAGCTGTGTGTATCAATCAAGGGTCAGCTGTGAGGTTGGTTTACTTGTGGGACACAAAATATGAAGTGAAAGTATAAACATTAACCCTCATCTCACATGATGTGATTTACAAAAGCAGGACACGTTTCTGGAGCAACATTTGGTCAACCAATCATTGCCATAACTTTAACCCTTGATAGCCTCTTTACAAGACATACAATTTTGGAATGTTTGCTCATCACAAAAATGGCTTGACTTACAGATGGATGTTTATGTGACATTTATGATTTAGTAAGCAAGTGAATACACTGTTTTAAAGATCTTTATCAGATGTTTGTACACAAATATGTTATTAAAATGGAACATGATACTTTCTAGACTAAAAATCAACCGAATGTTCAAGGATACCAAAAGATATTCAAATATTCATAGATTTACAAAATAAAATATATGACGAATTATTAATTAAGAAGCAATAAATCTTTGATTAAACTAGTAAAGTGGTTCAAAGTGGTTGCCATCCCAAGAAACTGTATCTCAATATCTTTGCACGCAGAGGCACTTAACACATACACACTCTGTTCTTTTTGTGCCATTTATTTAAAGTGCCCCTACTATGGGTTATGATATGAAAAGTTCATATTTTGGTTTTGGGAGTCCCCAACAACAGGTTGACATGCATGCAAGGTCAAAAAACACTTTCATTGTCTTATAATATGCATTTATTTTTACCTTACTTGCTCACGATTCGTTTAACGATTAATTTTTCCAAACCCCTCCTTTGCGTGACGATCGGTCTCATTTTCATTTCATCATGACTGTAACGCCTGATAAAGCAATGTTTGTGAGCGCATTGCTGCTTTGTGTACAGCGTTACCGGGGAAACTGCTATTTTTAAGCTCCAAAAGCAGCATCTAGTGGCAAAGAATGAATTTGCATTTTAATTCAGACCAACACCAAAAGACGAACAAGTGGGTGGGCAATATGCTAATGTTTCATGTTGACGTCAACATGAAACGGCTTGGGATTCGTTTTAAAAATGACTGATTTCTTTTGAGAGACAATAACTTAAAGGGTTCATAGGATGCCCATTTTCCACAAGTTGATATGATTCTTTATGGTCTTAATGAAAAGTCTGTAACATAGTTTGGTTAAAACTTCTCAATGGTAGTGTAAAAACACCTTTTTTACCGTCAAAAACAGCTCTTTTCAGAGCATGCAGATTTGTAGCATTTGCCTTTAAATGTTAATGAGCTCTGCTGACCCCGCCCCTCTCTTCCGAGCTGCTCTCAGAGAGACTGTTTACTTTAGCCGCATTCATCGTGAAACTTGCTAATTAGCACATTATTAGGAAAGGCGATTTGCAAAGATACATTAAAAAAACCTTATACTCACTTCTTCTGTAGATGAAGCTGGATCACGAATGATTCGTGAGAACATAGATGCATTTATGTAGATCGGGGGCGCATTCCCTTCAGAAACAATGTAATCCACTGCGAGTTCAGCGGCTCAAATGTCGGGAGTAAATGACGACTGCTATGTTCATTATTACATCCAACAACAGAACACCTCAATCGCTTAGGAGTCATTCTTGTCTACATCTGCTCCAGCGGTGAAACAATGGCGGACTGATGAACGCAGCTCTTAAACGAAAAAGTGAAGCTGTGTGTATCAATCAAGGGTCAGCTGTGAGGTTGGTTTACTTGTGGGACACAAAATATGAAGTGAAAGTATAAACATTAACCCTCATCTCACATGATGTGATTTACAAAAGCAGGACACGTTTCTGGAGCAACATTTGGTCAACCAATCATTGCCATAACTTTAACCCTTGATAGCCTCTTTACAAGACATACAATTTTGGAATGTTTGCTCATCACAAAAATGGCTTGACTTACAGATGGATGTTTATGTGACATTTATGATTTAGTAAGCAAGTGAATACACTGTTTTAAAGATCTTTATCAGATGTTTGTACACAAATATGTTATTAAAATGGAACATGATACTTTCTAGACTAAAAATCAACCGAATGTTCAAGGATACCAAAAGATATTCAAATATTCATAGATTTACAAAATAAAATATATGACGAATTATTAATTAAGAAGCAATAAATCTTTGATTAAACTAGTAAAGTGGTTCAAAGTGGTTGCCATCCCAAGAAACTGTATCTCAATATCTTTGCACGCAGAGGCACTTAACACATACACACTCTGTTCTTTTTGTGCCATTTATTTAAAGTGCCCCTACTATGGGTTATGATATGAAAAGTTCATATTTTGGTTTTGGGAGTCCCCAACAACAGGTTGACATGCATGCAAGGTCAAAAAACACTTTCATTGTCTTATAATATGCATTTATTTTTACCTTACTTGCTCACGATTCGTTTAACGATTAATTTTTCCAAACCCCTCCTTTGCGTGACGATCGGTCTCATTTTCATTTCATCATGACTGTAACGCCTGATAAAGCAATGTTTGTGAGCGCATTGCTGCTTTGTGTACAGCGTTACCGGGGAAACTGCTATTTTTAAGCTCCAAAAGCAGCATCTAGTGGCAAAGAATGAATTTGCATTTTAATTCAGACCAACACCAAAAGACGAACAAGTGGGTGGGCAATATGCTAATGTTTCATGTTGACGTCAACATGAAACGGCTTGGGATTCGTTTTAAAAATGACTGATTTCTTTTGAGAGACAATAACTTAAAGGGTTCATAGGATGCCCATTTTCCACAAGTTGATATGATTCTTTATGGTCTTAATGAAAAGTCTGTAACATAGTTTGGTTAAAACTTCTCAATGGTAGTGTAAAAACACCTTTTTTACCGTCAAAAACAGCTCTTTTCAGAGCATGCAGATTTGT